CATTAAATTAGCTTAGAACGTGATTTGAACAAAGTTTTATATCAGTCTGCTGGCCAATAAATAAAACCACATATCTTGATTGGATTCTTTAGAAAAGATCACCGTGGTGGTTTAAACCTAAGTAATCCATTAACTGCATCTGCTTTTTTATTTATTGGCCAACAGAAGGGAGATGGATTTGAGAGACAACCTTAGGCAAAGTTCAGGTGTTATTATACTAAGTGACATATAAATCCGAACACCCAGTTTAAATGGTTTTATTTTAATAAAAGTTGGTGAATGTATTTATCTTACTGTAAATAACAAGTGAAAAAATGTTCAGCCTTATCAGTTGGACATTCCGGTTTTTATACTGCTTTTTTTTTATTCACTAACGCTCTAAAAATGAATATTTCAGCCGCAGTAAAGAATCAACGTTGGCGGATTTTGGTTCTTGACATCCTTTACGACCGATTACGATGCCTAGAGTACGGAGACCTGTACGATTTCGTCAACTTAGTGAGTTTGATAGGGGCCGTATAGTGGGACTTCGGGAAGCTGGACTTTCTTTTCGGGCAATTGCAGTTAGAGTGCAAAGAAGTGTAGACACTGTGGTTAGGTGTTGTCAGGCATGGCTTCGAGAAGGCCGTACGCAAAGAGCAAGGGGCACTGGACGCCGCCGTAGAACAACAGACCGTGAAGATCGCCGCCTAAGATTATTGGACTTAAGGGACCGTTTCTCCACTACCAGGTCCATTGCAAATGAATGGTTTGCAGATCACGGAAGACCTATTGGCATGCGAAGTGTTTACCGACGAATGAGAAGTTTTGGCTTGTTTTCATACCGGCCACACTGGGTCCTCCCTTTAACTCGAGAACACCGACGTAATCGCCTTGAGTGGTGCAGACAACGGTCACTCTGGGATCAGGAATGGAACAGTATTGTCCTTAGTGACGAGTCTCGATTTTGTTTAGGCATGCACGATGGTCGTGCCTGGGTTAGAAGGCGACGTGGTGAAAGGAGGAATCCACAGTTTTTTGTTGAAAGACATGTTCATCACACTGTTGGAGTTATGGTGTGGGGTGCTATAGCTTATGGTTCCAGGTCACCTTTAATCTTCATCAGAGGTAACATGAACGCGCAGCGTTATATCTACGAAGTTCTAGAACCCCATCTTTTACCCTATCTTGACACCCTGGCAGATCCAACTTTCCAACAAGATAATGCCCGACCACATGTTGCAAGAGTCACAATAGACTTCTTTCAACATAATGATGTCACATTGTTACCATGGCCACCAAGATCTCCCTACTTATCCCCAATTGAGCACGTGTGGGATATGATGGGTAGGAGATTGCTCAATTTGCAACGTCCTCCTCAGACTCTAGAAGCATTTCGAGAGGAGTTGATGGTTGCCTGGAATGAGATACCACAGGAGGACATTGACCACCTGATCAGAAGCATGCATAGGCGCGTTGGAGAATGCGTAGCACATCAGGGTGCATCCACACATTATTAAAGGTCAAAGCGCTTTAAAGCAGTGCAATGATTTTGAAATTTTTATCATTTACTTATTATGCTTCATTAAGTACTTATACAATTTTTTTTTAAAATAAAACCATTTAAACTGGGTGTTCGGATTTATATGTCACTTATTACAAAATCAATGCGCCTATTCTTTTTGCTGGACACCGATCTATGATTGTATTCACGTCTATTTTAACATCCCTGTGTATATACAAAAGAGCTAAACCCACTAATCGATCTTGTAACATAGTGGAACGCAGCCAAGTTTTTATCCTCTTCAGATGGGAGAAACTTCTTTCAGATGTCGCAACTCTTACCGGCAATGATTTCAATAATTGTAGGCATCTATTACTTGAAAGAAAAATGTTTTCATCACATGATTAATTCCATTGTTTATAATATCTTATGTACATGATTTCCAAAGGTCAAATTCTGCTTTTAATCTGGTACTTATTGGATTTTAGTTACTATTTAGTCCATGCAAATATTTAGAGATTGTTTCTAATATATCCGTTACTTCAGCTTCAATTTTTGAATTAAATATTGACGCAAAGAAAATACTAAAATTATAGATATATATTCAAAGATTCTTCATTGAACCGGTATACCAAATGCAGATTTTTTTATAAGACGTTTGCTCTATACCACCTTTTCAAAAACTGTTCGAGTCGTCTAGGGGGTAGGGTAATTACCCCTCCCCCCCCCCCCTCGTGATGAAGTAACGAAATGTTTGTGAGTGCAGTCATGTTTCAACTTAACTTCGCGGTATTTCGATAAGAACCTGTATTTCCGCATATGAATATCACATTTTTCAAACTATATACAATCCAGTTCAGCGGCTAATTTTAATGTCAGAGAACCATTTCTACAGAAACAAAAACAAAACAATAATTAGTTTATAATGCACTACCGTATTTACAGTAATTGTATTTAATATCTGTCACGCTGTAAGGCTCCTGGTAAACGTATACATGATTCTTAATATACCGGGTGTCAACGAAATCGTTTTGCACTGTTCAATTGCTGTTTAAAGAAGAACCTTGAAATTTTGTTTGAAGATATGACTTATAAAAACTTAGATTATCCATCAAAAAACAACCGAATATCGCTTCCGGTTTGACCGGAAGTGAGTATGAAACAAGAATTTTAAATAGGTCCTTGTATATATTTTTACATATTTGGATAGAGCTTAAAATTTCCTTTCCAAAGGTGTATCGCAAGTTGTCATACTTTTTCAAAATGGCGGCATAAATGGCATTTAAGCCAAATTCAATATGGCTGCGTTTTGACAGTATCTATGGATTTTCTGCCAAACTAGCCGCTAATCTATGAAGCAAAATGGATTTTCTTGTCGCTTCTGCAATGAGCTGGCAAAACAAAAAAAACGTCATAAATTTAGGACCATTTTTGTTTTTACTTAAAATGTTGAAATGTATTTAAAATTTTCTCAGAATTTTGAATAGGAAACGGAGCTTTTTTAATGCTAATAATAAAGAGCGTTTTATTTCTGAGAGAAAAATGCTCAACAGTACGTTTCTTTTGTATTTTTTTTATTTCTGACGATAACAAGAACAATAACGAAAATTAGCATAGTAAAAACTAAGTAAAAAAGTAACTAAATAGCAAATTCCTTAGTAGATAAATTACTAATTAAAAATTAGGAAAAACCATTTAATTAAGTGTTCTATGCGTTGGCCGCAGAGTTGTTAACATAACCTGACACTTTTGATGCAATTGTCGTAGATGTTCTTGAGATACGTTTTCAGTGCTGTTCTGATTCTATTTTAAAGTAGGTACTTTTAGAGACGGTGGAGGGGTGGCATAAACTTTTTCTTTTAAATAGCCCCAAACTGAAATATCCAGAGGGGTCAAATCTGGCGACCATGCAGGCCAACGGATTGGAATCGCTCATTCAAGTAATTAGTTACAACCTTAGAAAAATATAGGACCAGTAATATTAAGCCCTGCTACACCTAACCAAACATTCACTCCAAAACGTACCTGGAGGGCACCGTCTCTCACTAGCCTTTGGTCCTCCTTAGCCCAATACCGAGTATTGTTTCGATTATACATCCCTAAATCTGGATTCATCCGAAAAAATAATATCGAGATGGAAGACAGCACTTATGTTCATATTACTCAGAAGCCGGTTGCAATAATTAAGCCGTTTTTTAAAATCATTTTCAACCAGATGGTAATGAATTTGGTACTTAAAAGACTTAAAGCGATGTTTCTTTAAAACGTTTCTTGCATTTTGTTGAATTTGGCTCAAACATAGGTTTAATTCTTTTGTTGATGCAATTTGGTGCCGAACACGCTCTTTGACGACAGCGTTGCGTCGCAAGTGCAGAGTCAACCTGCATGACAGATTTTTCTCTTAAACCGCTACCTAAAGTTTACATGTATATTAACTACGATGCGCCTACATCCCACGTCCACCAAACGTCCTCAAAATATCTACGATACCACTAGCCAACGCATGACTGCATTAACTGTATAATTTGTAATCATACAAGGTGAGTAAAAATCAACAACGATATTTCAACAATAACACGTTCCTACAAGCTAAACGTCCCCTGGCCGAAATATACAGATCGGAGTTGGGATACACATATTGTTGAAAATAGTGATATCAAGAGACGTTATATATATATATATATATATATATATATATATATATATGTGAAAAATTAAAGCTTCCGCCTTTTGTTGGGTACTTCGACAAAATTTAAGCAAAGAGGATTCTTTGTACTTTTTTTATTCTCTCTAGCTTTCAATGGACTTTGCCATCATCATCAGGAGCTGCAATTACATTGATAACAGTAGCAACAATAGTGTAGGGTAGGTAGTATCTCAAAAATGTTTCCCAAAAAAAAGAATTAATGAAATCTCCTAAAAGTGACAATTCAAATTTAAATACATTAGAAATATAACAGAAATTTCAAAATGGTCAGTAGCTCAAAAAGATCTTCTTCCTCATAGTGTAAGGATTAAAATATCCATTTTGCTATGCCACTGATATCTGACGCTTATCTTGTGACTGTTTCTCCGAGCAATCTCTGTATTCTGCTGTAAAAATGATAATTTTGTATTTTCAACAAGACAGCGGATGTCACCGAAATTCTGTAAATCTTTATTTCTACATCTGTGTCTCTTTTGGCGGCAAAGAGAACATGACAATTCCCATGGACGCAGCTTAAGCCTGATATTTTTGACTGTATTGTTACTGCATATACATACTATTATACCTTCATTCGGTCCTGCTTCCTGGCTTTCCCTTCATCATCCTGTATCTTGATATACGTCTACGTTAAAGCCCTTGCTTATCTGGAATTTCTGCGTTACTTTACACGTACTTTTAGCCGTATACTAACGCCACTGTTTTTTGAACCACCCTGTATATTTATGATCTCGACGTATGTGTTCGGCACACACCTTGCATACACACACGCCAAGCCAAGCGTTCGAACCCGATCACTTGAAAGAAAGGATAAATGAATTGGTAATTGCTAGATACGCCCATGCATTAATAAGCAATTCGCTTTAAGTGTTGCATTTTAACGAGGCATTATTCAGTCGTAGCTGCGATTTTGTAAGGATGTAGTCGTGCGCGGAAGATGCAATGCATTTCGGTCGTCAGGAAGTAACTCCATAAAAATAGCTCTGCGTAATAGGAATCTAACGGGTGAGTATGTTTCTGACTACGGTATTATCGACGAGGTATACTAAGTGACATATAAATCCGAACACCCAGTTTAAATGGTTTTATTTTAATAAAATTTTGTATAAGTACTTAACGAAGCATAATAAGTAAATGATAAAAATTTCAAAATGATTGCACTGCTTTAAAGCCCTTTGACCTTTAATAATGTGTGGATGCACCCTGATGTGCTACGCATTCTCCAACGCGCCTAGGCATGCTTCTGATCAGGTGGTCAATGTCCTCCTGTGGTATCTCATTCCAGGCAACCACCAACTCCTCTCGAAGTGCTTCTAGAGTCTGAGGAGGACGTTACAAATTGAGCAATCTCCTACCCATCATACCCCACACGTGCTCAATTGGGGATAAGTCGGGAGATCTTGGTGGCCATGGTAACAATGTGACATCATTATGTTGAAAGAAGTCTATTGTGACTCTTGCAACATGTGGTCGGGTATTGAAAAGTTGGATCTGCAAGGGTGTCAAGATAGGGTAAAAGATGGGGTTCTAGAACTTCGTGGATATAACGCTGCGCGTTCATGTTACCTCTGATGAAGGTTAAAGGTGACCTGGAACCATAAGCTATAGCACCCCAAACCATAACTCCAACAGTGTGATGAACATGTCTTTCAACAAAAAACTGTGGATTCCTCCTTTTACCACGTCGCCTTCTGACCCTGGCACGACCATCGTGCATGCCTTAACAAAATCGAGACTCGTCACTAAAGACAATACTGTTCCATTCCTGATCCCAGAGTGACCGTTGTCTGCACCACTCAACGCGATTATGTCGGTGTTCTCGAGTTAAAGGGAGGACCCAGTGTGGCCGGTATGAAAACAAGCCAAAAAGTTCTCATCCGTCGGTAAACACTTCGCATTCCAATAGGTCTTCCGTGTTCTGCAAACCATTCATTTGCAATGGACCTGGTAGTGGAGAAACGGTCCCTTATGGCCAATAATCTTAGGCGGCGATCTTCATGGTCTGTTGTTCTACGGCGGCGTCCAGTGCCCCTTGCTCTTTGCGTACGGCCTTCTCGAAGCCATGCCTGACAACACCTAACCACAGTGTCTACACTTCTTTGCACTCTAACTGCAATTGCCCGAAAATAAAGTGCAGCTTCCCGAAGTCTCACTATACGGCCCCTATCAAACTCACTAAGTTGACGAAATCGTACAGGTCTCCGTACTCTAGGCATCGCAACCGATCGTAAAGGATGTCAAGAACCAAAATCCGCCAACGTTGATTCTTTACTGCGGCTGAAATATTCATTTTAATAGAGCGTTAGTGAATTAAAAAAAAGCAGTATAAAAACCGGAATGTCCAACTGATAAGGCTGAAAATTGTTTCACTTGTTATTTACAGTAAGATAAATACATTCACCAACTTTTATTAAAATAAAACCATTTAAACTGGGTGTTCGGATTTATATGTCACTTAGTATATAATTCAGGAAAGTTGTTTCTAGGAAAAATGAGCCCTCCAACAATATTTTGACATACCAACTGTCTCGTTATTTTTAGTGTTGCCGAGATGCTTTAAAAAATGCCGCAAATTACTGAAATCTGCATTGCAATCTCGGTTAAAAAATACAGAGGACAAGTAATAAAAAAAGAAGAAACGTCCTAAACTGGAAGCCGAAGTTTGTATTGAATCAAGCTTCAACATCTGTTTTTTTTTTAATTTTATGTGCCCGGAACGTCAGTAATGTAATTAATTTACCATATGCAGTTGTTTACCAATAAAGGAAGATGTACACAATGAGCCGTATTCATAAAACAAAGGATATCCTTGTACTTTCAAATTTTGAAGGAAATCCTCCAGATGGTATTTATAATATACTAAGTGACATATAAATCCGAAAACCCAGTTTAAATGGTTTTATTTTAATAAAATTTTGCATAAGTACTTAATGAAGCATAATAAGTAAATGATAAAAATTTCAAAATGATTGCACTGCTTTAAAGCCCTTTGACCTTTAATAATGTGTGGATGCACCCTGATGTGCTACGCATTCTCCAACGCGCCTAGGCATGCTTCTGATCAGGTGGTCAATGTCCTCCTGTGGTATCTCATTCCAGGCAACCACCAACTCCTCTCGAAGTGCTTCTAGAGTCTGAGGAGGACGTTGCAAATTGAGCAATCTCCTACCCATCATATCCCTCACGTGCTCAATTGGGGATAAGTCGGGAGATCTTGGTGGCCATGGTAACAATGTGACATATTTATGTTGAAAGAAGTCTATTGTGACTCTTGCAACATGTGGTCGAGCATTATCTTGTTGGAAAGTTGGATCTGCCAGGGTGTCAAGATAGGGTAAAAGATGGGGTTCTAGAACTTCGTGGATATAACGCTTCACGTTCATGTTACCTCTGATGAAGATTAAAGGTGACCTGGAACCATAAGCTATAGCACCCCAAACCATAACTCCAACAGTGTGATGAACATGTCTTTCAACAAAAAACTGTGGATTCCTCCTTTCACCACGTCGCCTTCTAACCCTGGCACGACCATCGTGCATGCCTAAACAAAATCGAGATTCGTCACTAAAGACAATACTGTTCCATTCCTGATCCCAGAGTGACCGTTGTCTGCACCACTCAAGGCGATTACGTCGGTGTTCTCGAGTTAAAGGGAGGACCCAGTGTGGCCGGTATGAAAACAAGCCAAAACTTCTCATTCGTTGGTAAACACTTCGCATGCTAGTAGGTCTTCCGTCTTCTGCAAACCATTCATTTGCAATGGACCTGGTAGTGGAGAAACGGTCCCTTAAGGCCAATAATCTTAGGCGGCGATCTTCACGGTCTGTTGTTCTACGGCGGCGTCCAGTGCCCCTTGCTCTTTGCGTACGGCCTTCTCGAAGCCATGCCTGACAACACCTAACCACAGTGTCTACACTTCTTTGCACTCTAACTGCAATTGCCCGAAAAGAAAGTCCAGCTTCCCGAAGTCCCACTATACGGCCCCTATCAAACTCACTAAGTTGACGACATCGTACAGGTCTCCGTACTCTAGGCATCGTAACCGATCGTAAAGGATGTCAAGAACCAAAATCCGCCAACGTTGATTCTTTACTGCGGCTGAAATATTCATTTTTAGAGCGTTAGTGAATTAAAAAAAAGCAGTATAAAAACCGGAATGTCCAACTGATAAGGCTGAAAATTTTTTCACTTGTTATTTACAGTAAGATAAATACATTCACCAACTTTTATTAAAATAAAACCATTTAAACTGGCTGTTCGGATTTATATGTCACTTAGTATATAAGGTAATCATTATGAATATGAAAACAAGGATATGCTTATACTTCTACCTTTTTCTCCGAAGCAAGACCTTATACTTTTACCTTATGCTTCCGAGGATATGCTTATCTTTTATGAATACGGCTCAATGCATGGGTTAGAATAACTTACCAACGTTGTACAAAATGAATCAAGTAATAGTAGAAACAGCACAAGATTTTTCTGAAATATTTCAGAAATCTTACATTGTATTAATCGTAATATTTCAAAATCCTTACAATATATTGCTGCAATAGTTCTGAAAGGTATACAGTATGTCCCAGAGTCGCTTCCCAATACGGGGATCTCGGTTCCTATTATACCTACAGCAAGAGTTAAATGGGGAAAGCTTTAGAGGAAACTTAGTGTAGTGATCGGCATATTTATCTGAAATAAAAGAATTGTGGCTACCTAACAACGATACGTCTTCATCATTAACTGATATAAAATTGCATTCTTGCTATTTAAAAATTTAAGTAACTTGAATATGTTACAATGTACCTTTAAGAAGGTAAGAATAAAATGAAGTTTTCCTACTCCTTTCGATGACATACTGCCCCAGACCATAATGGATACTGGAAATATCACTTTTCTCTTCGGACAGTCAACATGAAATGCTTCATTTTTTTGCGAATAACTGTACTGCGACTGTCACCAACACAAACTTCGAATCGGGCCTCATCACTCCATTGTATTGCACACCATTGTTGAGGTGCAACTTTAGGGTTTTTACTTCACTTTTTTTATAAGAAAACTTACCTTTCAGGTGCTAAATCCCAGTTTGTGGGCCTCTCTATGAGTTGTGGACCTCGAAATTTTCCTTCCAACAGCGTCACTCCACAGAGCACTCAATTGTAAATAATTGGCGCGCCCGTTTTTCACGATTATTCTTCTTAATGCTCTTCGATCGGCATTTGTGATATTACTTTTTTCACATATCGTGGCTTAATATTAACTGAACCAGTTAAGTTATATCTTCTAACAATATTTGTCACACTGTACCGCGATAAGTCTAACAAAGTTGCAATTTCTGAGTTTGATTTCCCAGAATTAAAAAATTTAATTATCAGTAACCGAATTTTCTCACTAATAACACTGATCAACAGCCAAAAAATATCCTGAATAAAATCAACAAAATATTACTATTTTTAATGTGCTAAAACCGGAATGAAACTTATTTTTTCAATATTAGTTCAAGTTTTAGAGATACGGTAATTATATGTGTTCCTGCTGTGACAGTGTTAATATACTGTAATTCACAAGAATGCACGTGCTACATTTTTATATTCGGCAAGGAAAGATGATGTAATCGGCATGATTGTGTTACGTTATACATACGTGTACATTATATTGTTTTATATTAGCCATTTTTTCCTCAGTTGGCTGACAGCGTTCATGCAAGATGTCTCGAAAGTGTGTAAACAATCCAGATCAGTTGTGTTACGTGTGTGATGATGTGACTTTTGCGTCTCAGAGACGGTCTATTACTCCACTAATAACAAAGGCATATCAGCAGACAAACAGTGGGCACCCCACATCTGCTGTAATACATGTGCTTCAAGTCTGAGGAGCTAGTTAAATGGCAAAAAAACGGTCTATGCCCTTTGCTGTCCCAATGGTTTGGAGAGAGCCTACAAATCATATTAATGATTGTTACTTTTGCATGGTACCTTATGTTGGACAAGCCACAGGTATGTCCAAGAAAAAAAGATCGGTTATTAACTACCCAAACATACCATCTGCGATGAGACCTGTGCCTTACAGTGACGAAAATCCTATTCCAAAACCCCCAGAATCCTACACTTGCGAATCAGAAAACGAATCAGATCATGGCGATCGAGTGATTCGTCAGGAAGAAGATATGCCATCAACGTCAAGAGATCCTGATTTTATACCGAGCCGGTCATGCCACCAACCGCACAAAATAATACAGTCAGAATTAAATGATCTTGTAAGAGATTTAGAACTTCCAAAATGTAAGGCAGAGTTACTTGGATCAAGACTGCAGCAGTGGAACTTGTTAGAAGACGATGTTTCGGTATGTGTTTTTCGTAAACGCCACAAAGACTTAGAACCATTTTTCTATATGGAGAATAACTTGGTTTTCTGCAGTATCATTAACGGCTTACTGGCGGCTTTAAATATAAACTATAACCCAGAAGAATGGAGATTGTTTATAGACAGTTCAACATTGAGTTTAAAGGCAGTGTTATTGCATATTGGAAATATTTTACCATCTCTTCCTGTAGGGTGTGCAGTTCACATGAAAGAATCATATGACAATATGAAGTACCTATTGACATGCATAAAATACGATGAGCACCAATGCCATATTTGTGGCGATTTGAAAGTTGTTGCACTTTTACTTGGGCTGCAGCTAGGCTACACAAAGTTTTGCTGTTTTTTGTGTGAATGGGACAGTCGGGCAAAGGTACTTCATTACACCAGACAAAACTGGCCTGTTCGTCAATTCCTAGAGCCAGGTCAAAAAAATGTACAGCATATGCCATTAGTAGATTCGAAAAAAATTTTATTACCACCACTGCATATCAAGTTGGGCCTAATGAAAAACTTTGTCAAGGCATTAGATAGAGATGGGTCAGCTTTTCAATACCTGCGTCAGAAATTTCCAAGACTAAGTGAGGCAAAGGTTAAAGAAGGTATTTTTGTTGGGCCACAGATTCGAAATATTTTGAAAGATACACAGTTTGAAAACACTTTAACAGGTATTGAAAACACTGCTTGGAATGATTTCCGTCTGGTGGTCACTAATTTCTTGGGAAATAGAAAAGCTGACAACTATAAAACCCTTGTCAAAAATATGCTGTCATCATATCAAAAGATGGGCTGTAATATGTCTCTTAAGATACATTTCCTACACTCACACCTGGACTTTTTTCCTGACAATTGCGGAGCCGTAAGTGATGAGCACGGCGAACGTTTTCATCAGGATATTTCAACAATGGAAAAAAGGTACCAGGGAAAGTGGAATACTTCCATGCTTGCAGACTACTGTTGGACTCTTGGTAGAGATGCTCCAGAAACGATCCATAAAAGAACAGCAAAAAGACAGCGCATATAGTGATTCTTATAAGTACATGAATCTTGTTACTTTTTTTAATATATCCTTAAAAATAAAAAGTTTTTTTCTAAACCGCAACTAATTTTTTTATTTCATTGTCATTTTTGGATTCAGCGCCCCAAAATTAACAAAGAAGTGCACTTTTCCCACAAGATACAATTAAAAAACTAAAATTTGTTGTCTAGTGATAACCTTTCCTCTACTCATTTTAAAAACCTTAACTACCCAAAACTATTTCAAACATATTCTGACAGCTGTGATTAATAAAAACAATTATTATTTTGCATTGAAATGAAAATAGGTTGATATGCTGTAATTGCAACACGTGTTATTTTTATGCTGCAAATATGATTAAGGAGTGATAAAGTTGGTGTTTTCTACAATATATTATCAAATATTCATTGTGAATATTTTAAACCTGTAACACCCTGCTACATTTTATTACTTGTGTTTGATAAGAAAAAAACTAAGATTTCAATAGTTGGGCCAACTGAAGTGGGAAGGGGCTCGTACAGTGTACGTTATAATCATATAATTTATAACATTCTTTTAGGTAAACAAGAAAAAACAGCTTATAAAGTAGTATACTGTACCACAGTATTACTACCCAAAATGCAACTTTGAAGTTCTATAAAATAGCAAGCCGAGGCTTCCTTAACGAAAAAATTATACTTTCATACAAGACACATCCTAATCTTTCATTCTAAAATAAAAAATGAATGTTTGTTCCAGGTCTCTTTTTGAAAAGGCAGCGATGGCTAACCTGACTTTCGACATCACGAGCCAGATCAAGCACAACGCGTTCAACATTCACCAGCCTATTGCGATGCCCAAGGTCAAAAGTGCCTCGATAGCATCCTTCAACGGGGAAGTGTTCCCTTATGCCCTCATTGTACTAGCCAGCGTCATCTTCGTATTGGGCATCATCGGCATCATCTACATTTGCGTGTCTTGGTCTAAGTAAGTTTGACTTTCTTCCGCGGATACGGTCTATCATCGAAAGAGAAGAGAGATCTAAGTAAAGATGTTTATATGAAACTTCAGTAATTTATAATTTCTTATTTTCTACATAAGACTATTATAGTTGCCGTCACCGTTCTTGGCGGTGACGTCATCAACGCCATATGAAATAAGTAAACAGATCGAGTCTCCGTACCATGGGTGGATCATCACGTCTGCTACTCACCCTAGTACGCATAAAGTGGGTAACGTTGGACCGCTGTTTTCATTCTCTTCCTGGAAATTACAATTAAAATTGATAACATTACAACTTGAATTGTAAACCGGTGTCAATTAAGTTGTCACTCTGACAAATATGATTCAAGGGCAATCATACTTAACGACAAAGTTTTGATTTTCCAATGCGTGTGACCTTTTGTCAGTGGTATCTTCAAATAATTATACAAAATCCGCAATTTGAATCAATGATTATGTTCACGGACGAAGCTAATTTTTATTGAAATGCCATTCAGAATTTCCACAATAATCATTTGTGGGCAGAAGAAAATCGCTATGCCGTAACCGAAACCCACTTCCAACATCAATTTTCGGTTAACGTATGGGCAGGAATTATTGGCAACCACCGCAAAGTTGGGGTTTTCCTTTTCAGAAACAACTACCCTTGAAATAACAAAGGTAATGTGTAGTGAAACGAGGGAGACCAAGTAAAAAAAATAAAGGAAAAAGTACTCACTCTCCAGTTGACGAGAAGGGCTAAGTACGTCTCTGCCCGAAATCATACCGCTCCAACAGATAATGAAATCAGCTGATGCGCTACCGAGCAGACGCACCATGCCAGCCCAAACATTCACCGAAAATGTTTGTTGAAAATGTGCCCGACGGACAGCGTGCGGATTTTCTACTGACCAAACATGAGTGTTGCGAAAGTTATTCACCCCATTAGGCGTGAATATAGATTCGTCTGTCACCAATATGCACTTCAAAAAGTCCGGATTATTGTCATGTTGATGCAACAACCACTCACAAAACCGCACTCTTGCTGAAAAATCGTCACGTTGGACGTGAAACGGATACAGCCCCTCTTCACGCAGCGTTTGCCACACTTTAGTTTTTGATACTTGACCTTCTCTAGCCACGTCTCTACTGCTTGTTGAGGGATTCTCGTCTACGCGATTACCTCTAGACGCGTGACCGTAACCGTCGGTTGAAGGTCGCATACTGACCTGACACACTGACCCCGACCCAGTTCTGTCGTCGGGTTGAGCCAGTGACATTGTACCACTCCACGATGTCGCGGCTACAGGACGGTATTCAGATATTTCTGATGTTGCAGAGCTCTTTATCTTGGTTCCCTTAAGACATTGGTGATGGTACTAAGAAAAATTGCTTATGTTTTCAAGATCGACACGTCGTGTAAAGGAAAACCCCAACTTTGCGGATACCCTGTATAATGCATTACCATCGAGTGCTAACCCTCTTGATTTCAGTAATTTCAAAAAGCAAAAAAAAACAAATCATCTCCAATGCTCAAATCCGAAACCCCCAGTCAGTTCAGCCATATTCGTGCATATATTATATAAATCGTTTTGTACACTCATGTCTACGTTGTGCAATTTTTAATTAAATTTTGGAAGAATATTTTGTTGAGATTGTTTTTAATATTCCAGTGCTAGTTATTTTCAAGGCTAAACTTCGCCTGAAATAAAAGTCGTTACATATAAAGGAATCTTCTAAGATTTTCTAAAAATTTTCGAGTGCCACCTTTAGGAAAAATACAGTAATTACGCATGCATTTCATTAGTCCGATTTCAGCCTGCTAACTTGACCCATCCAAAAAGGTCCGACCTTTTTGAAAATCACTGTTCAATTTATTTCAATATGTACATAACTTCATTGTTATATTGAGATTCTTGAAATTTGTACAGTAACAACGCAGCGTTGGGTACATTGATCTGAACCATATTGTTTGAAATGTCGGCTGTCTGTGGTTTTATTTTGCGAAAAACACCTTGATTTGATACCTAGTAAGGATTACTCAATGGTATATTATTACGAAGCGGATTAGTTCCAGTAATTCTGCCACACACGAATATACAGTATATTCAGATAAGAGATAGACCGGACATAAACAAGACCACGTGATCATCGAACGCTGTAACATTCGGCAGGGACGTATTAAGAGTCACGCAGTACATATTTTAGATAGTAGATGCTGCTTTGCGTAACTTTGTAGTAAATTAGCACAATTCGATGTGTATACGATTGGTGATGGATATAGGATCATGTGGGGGTTGGGTAAGAAATATATAATGATGTAAATATACATAAGGGTTTCAAAATTTTCGCTTCGATTTCCAGCTTCGGATGCCGCCTGATGTTTGGTGAAATACAGTCGAATATAATCTCAAAATGGCGTTTAAATTAGCCTAAATTAAAAATAATCGTATATCTCTTAAAATTGCTTTTAGAATATTGATTAGTATATTTTTTGATTTCTAGGTAAATATGTAATCAAATTAAAACGTTCAAAACGTAAAAAATGTGCATGGTTGGACATTGTCAGAAAGTAGATTCTTGAATAGGTTTTGCCAAAATGGGTTCAAAAATGTCAATAATTAATTAAAAAATACAGTAGCCTTATAATTACTTATAACTTACCGAATTTGATGAACGACATCTTTTATTGGAAAGATGAGCTTGATGAGCTTTCATCATCGCTACTGCCTGAAGCACCAACGTCAATAATGAATGGCTCGACTTGTTCCTCTAAAATATTGTCCAGTTCCCACATTCTCTTTTCAACTTTGTCTTTCACGTGCTTAATACAGTTTTCCCATTTTTGCGCTGTTATTAATTCTAGTGCTTCTTTGAAAAGTCCTTTGAGGTCACAAAATTTAAAAGTTGTATTGTGCTTAGCTATATAATTTTTAACCTCTGCCCATATGAGCTCAATGGGATTGAGCTCGCAATGGTATGGAGGTAAACGGAGCACAGTTTTATTTTGACTTGCTGCCATTTCGTCAATGGCGTATTTTTGATATTCCGCCTTGTGATCCTTGACAATTCTTAATAATTGTACTTTCAACATTGCTTCTTCAAAGTTGATATTTTTCGAGCGGAGCCAATTTTGAACATCAACTTTCCTTGAAGCCGTTGTTGGGACCTTCTCCATTCTTCGAGAATGATAAGGCGCATTATCCAACACAATTACTGCGTTTTCCTCTAAGTTCGGTAAAATTTTTGAAAACCACTGTTCAAACGATTCGCCATTCATTTCCTCGTGGTAATCTCCAGTTTTCTTAGACTCAAAGCACCACAGACCGCCAACAACAAATCCATCCTCACTGCCAATATGGCAGATAATGAGCCTTTTCCCTTTACCTGGAAATCGAAGTACTAACTGGTCTAGATTTATTTCAATAAGCGAGCCTTTTTCAAATGTTTTCATCACATTCAGCGAAAAAACATTGAGACATGAGTATCAGATTGCTATAATTGGGATTATTTAGTCATATTGAAAGAAAGAATATTGAACGTCGTATGATTACTCAGCGCTTCACAATTTAATTTAAAGTTATAAACCTTTAAAAAATGAATGATCAGGAACCTGAAATACGCGCAAATATTAATATTAACAAATTATAACTTTATGAAGCTTAAAGTATGAATTAAAATGATTAGAAATATGAGGAACGGTACACAATATAAAACTTAGTAACTTTTTTAAGTTTATAATATTCGACATATTTTAAGATTATATTAAAAAATTATTGAAATATCGAAAACAGATAAAAACATGGCTTAAAAAAGTTCTAACAAATGAAAATGACAATAAAACATCCACGCATTTTATCGAAAGTTATAAAAGTTTTGTTACTTGTAATATGTTTTATTTGCCCCCTGGAATTAATGTTTAGAACCTTGTTCCCAAGGTTTAAAAAACACACAGTCCATCTAGAAAGGCCCTCCTGGATGAAGTTACAGAATCATCAACCCATACTTTACTTGTAGTGTGTCCTGCGTTTACCCACGTTTCATCAAGGTAATAAATCTTCCTGTTTTGATTTCTATATTTCCAAAATTTTTGTTGAATAATCCCTCCTCCATAGCACAATTTCTTCTCTATCCAGTAGTAAACTATTACGATCCCGTTTTTTCCATTTAAAATTTAAATGCTTCAGTAACGCATGGAAAGTTGATCGTTTGAAATTTGGCAACGTTGTATCTCCATTTACCTCCTGCAGTACTTTATCTATAGTAGGTATTTCATTCCTAAAGAAGAATTCATGCACTTTCCTCCTAATCGCATGCTTATCAGCTTCATCCAATGATTTAACAATACTTTTGCGATGTTTACTGGTCATTGGCTCAGAAAAGGTGTGATTTTTTTTGTATTGTCTTAACACATTAAACACTGATGCGCGACACACCCCAACTTTGTGAGAAACCTTCACAACAATTTCTTTGATGGTTGATGCCTCGTTCTCCTGGCGCTCGATCTTATATATATTCAAAATGACCTCTTTCATTTTTGCACTCAGGTGTCTTTTTTAGAGCGTTTCCTAGGTGGACTACAGGAGTTTACAATTTTATCGGCAGTATCTGTACTACTGGGCATTTTGCGCAAGCAGTTGATAACAATAACAATCAATAACAAGGTATAACAATAACAACGACAAACTCAACAACTTAATAAGATAACAAACGAAAACGTCCAAAGAAATATCAAATTGCAATGATGCACACGACATACGTAACACGTCTGAACCTGAATGTGACTCTGCCTTGATACGACTGCTCTGCCGCTCGGCATAGGCATTTAATTGCGAATTGACCAATGAGGGCTCCTGTTTTACGTCGAGACGGCGGCGTTAGCGTGAAAATCACCCGAACCTTTTGTTTACATACGGTCTATCTCTTATCTGAATATACTGTATATCAAACGTTGCTTCCTAATGACGTAAGAAATTAAACGGCTTTTTTATAAGCTCTAGTTTTCTGTATGCTTTACACTTTAAAACGGATCTATTTCTGTTCAGGTACAAATCATTCAAGGACCAACATTCACATCATGCACGGCCTTATACTGTGCCCGCTAGTCCTGCCAGGTACGATTCGGTGTATGTGGAACCGAACCTCAAAGAATATGAAACGCAGGTATGACTTAATTATAATGTAACTCCTATAGTCGCTGATCTATCTCCATTAAGGAGTCCCAGCCCATGAGGGCAAACAATGTTTTGATCGAATTGAGATACGCATACCCCCTGTATTTTTCCATTCGACTCTAAGGACTCAAAAAATAAAGATTACTTTTAGGCAAACTTTCAATTCGAAAGTTAATACGGAAACCATATATGGATTTCAAAACTTAATTCTTATTCAACAAGTAAAACACTCCTTAAGTATACTAAGTGACACCCAGCTTAAATAGTTTTATTTTAATTAAATTTTGTATAAGTACTTAATAAAGCATAATAAGTAAATGATAAAAATTTCAAACCGATTGCACTGCTTTAAAGCCCTTTGACCTTTAGTAATGTGTGGATGCACCCTGATGTGCTACGCATTCTCCAACGCGCCTAGGCATGCTTCTGATCAGGTGGTCAATATCCTCCTGTGGTATCTCATTCCAGGCAACCACCAACTCCTCTCGAAGTGCTTCTAGAGTCTGAGGAGGACGTCCTCCTACCCATCATATCCCACACGTGCTCAATTGGGGATAAGTCGGGAGATCTTGGTGGCCATGGTAACAATGTGACATCATTATGTTGAAAGAAGTCTATTGTGACTCTTGCAACATGTGGTCGGGCATTATCTTGTTGGAAAGTTGGATCTGCCAGGGTGTCAAGATAGGGTAAAAGATGGGGTTCTAGAACTTCGTGGGTATAACGCTGCGCGTTCATGTAACCTCTGATAAAGATTAAAGGTGACCTGGAACCATAAGCTATAGCACCCCAAACCATAACTCCAACAGTGTGATGAACATGTCTTTCAACAAAAAACTGTGGATTCCTCCTTTCACCACGTCGCCTTCTAACCCTGGCACGACCATCGTGCATGCCTAAACAATATCGAGACTCGTCACTAAAGACAATACTGTTCCATTCCTGATCCCAGAGTGACGGTTGTCTGCACCACTCAAGCCGATTACGTCGGTGTTCTCGAGTTAAAGGGAGGACCCAGTGTGGCCGGTATGAAAACAAGCCAAAACTTCTCATTCGTCGGTAAACACTTCGCATGCCAATAGGTCTTCCGTGTTCTGCAAACCATTCATTTGCAATGGACCTGGTAGTGGAGAAACGGTCCCTTAAGGCCAATAATCTTAGGCGGCGATCTTCACGGTCTGTTGTTCTACGGCGGCGTCCAGTGCCCCTTGTTCTTTGCGTACGGCCGTCTCGAAGCCATGCCTGACAACACCTAACCACAGTGTCTACACTTCTTTGCACTCTAACTGCAATTGCCCGAAAAGAAAGTCCAGCTTCCCGAAGTCCCGCTATACGGCCCCTATCAAACTCACTAAGTTGACGAAATCGTACAGGTCTCCGTACTCTAGGCATCGTAACCGATCGTAAAGGATGTCAAGAACAAAAATCCGCCAACGTTGATTCTTTACTGCGGCTGAAATATTCATTTTTAGAGCGTTAGTGAATTAAAAAAAAGCAGTATAAAAACCGGAATGTCCAACTGATAAGGCTGAAAATTTTTTCACTTGTTATTTACAGTAAGATAAATACATTCACCAGCTTTTATTAAAATAAAACCATTCAAACTGGGTGTTCGGATTAATATGTCACTTAGTATATTTGTCATCAAAAAATATTGTTTACTAAGTTTTCTTTTCAAAGTTTTATTTTACGGTCTAGATATATCTACCTGTAATAAAGATTGTTTCATTATTTCACGGATGTTGTCACGATATCTAAAGCGGCCTACACACCATGCGATGCCTGAAACTACACGATGTTTCATGCAACACAAGAACAATAGGGTGAAGTTATCTTTGAAACTAACTGGTGGGTTATTGTTTGCTTGACGATTAGAATGAGGTAGGGGGGACCGGTGCTAGTTGTCACAGTTTTCAGTAATTTTTTTTTTTCGATCTGAAGCGTTATATGCACATATTCGGTGCATAACTAATATGGTTTATCCTTTGGGAACACTATGTAAAATCGATAAGGCTGTAAAAGAATTAATAATAATAATAATAATAATACAGCCAATTTTTACTCCAACAACCGTTTTGATAATAATTTGACTCCTTTCACTCTTCATACAGTAACACAAAAAATCGTTCTTGATATCATTTTATCGATTAAATCGACTGCCACTGGTAGTGATGGATTGAATTCAATAATGATACGACTTTGTTTGCCTGAAACACTTGACCACATAACTCACATAGTAAATATGTGTTTAGAGAAGGGCTTTTTCCCAACAAGCTGGAAAGAAGCTGTCATCACACCTATTGCTAAAGTCACAAACCCAGCTGAATACCATGATCTTAGACCGATCAGCATTTAATGTTTTCTTTCTAAGATATTAGAAAAGATCGTCTATCTACAGCTTATTGAGTACCTTGAACCTAATCATATGTTTCCGATACATCAGTCTGGATTCCGCAAGAATCATAGTACTACAACTGCTTTGTTATATATAATTGATAACATAATAAGAAATTTGGATGATCGCATTGGTACAATATTGGTTATGCTTGATTTATCTAAAGCGTTTGATTCTGTGAACCACCGTATACTTTTGAGTAAGTTCAAGTACCTTGGTTTAGGTAATACTGCTCTTATGTTCTTTGACGCTTACTTGTCTAATCGAACGCAAAAGGTGAAAACCAGTAAAGGTGTATCTGTGCCCAAGTATGTTCCTTCTGGAGTTCCACAGGGCTCGATCTTGGGACCTCTACTTTATTTGGTTTTCACGTTTGACTTGCATAACAGTGTTGAGCATTGCGCAATACAAGCTTATGCAGACGATACACAGTTAACATTTAATTTTGACTCTAGCAACTTAAATGAAATTTCTTATAAACTTAATGTCGACTCAGCTAATATTGATAATTTCTGCAAACGGCACTCACTGAAAATAAACCCTAGTAAATCGAATGCTATTGTCTTTAGTCCACATAATTTTCTAGTTAATGTTGTTGATCTAATCCAACTGTCTGTGAATCATACTGACATACCCTTAGTTAACGAAGCATAAAACCTGGGCGTTATTTTGGATAAAGACCTCCGTTTTAATCAGCACGTGAATGCCACCCTTAAATCCACATATATATCGTTAAAATTATTATATTCAAACCGGCACATTCTTAATTTCAAAACGCGGAAAAAACTTGTTGAGAGTCTTGTTATGTCTAAAATATTTTATTCGCTGGTTCTTTATTATCCTTGTATTGATTATAACACTAAATATAGACTGCAGAAAATCCAAAACAGTTGTTGTCGGTTCGTATATGGCCTCAGAAGGTATGATCACGTATCGTCTAAGATAAAAGAGCTAAAATGGCTAAAACTTGATAAACACTATACTTTCTCTTTGGGTGTATTTGTCCATAAATTGATTTCCACAAGGTCACCCATTTATCTTATGGACAAACTTGTACCTCGTGGTCAAGTCATTTCTAGAGCCCTACGACATAACCATCTCTTCGGTATGCCATTCCACAGAACATGTATATTCCGAAGATGTTTTACGTACAATGCTATCAGGACTTACAACTCTGTCAACCAGGTACTCAAGTCCAAAAGCTTACCTGTTTTAAAATTAAATACAAATATGCTCTTTTGGAATTGCCTTTTTAAAAATCCCTGATGATTAGCCGACTGATTTTGTAGCTTTTGTAAATTTTCCATGCTTTATACATTCTGTAATTGTTCATTGTTTTCTTTTTATTTTTCTGTACTGTACTATTGTCCTTATTATTATTATTATTATTTTTTCACTTCGTTTTTGAGGTTAAGTGGTAGAGTAGCCATGTGGCTAAACTTCGCCTCAATTCGAAGGTTTCAATAAAGACATTTATTATTATTATTATTATTATTAATAATATTAAATTAAAATGTTTCAAAATACAGAAACAAATGTGACAACCTGCCCCTTGCTGGGGCTGGATGTCACATAGCTTGAGGTTGGTTGTCAAGTGTATTTTAGATCATTAATAATCTATATCATACTTTTAAACATATTTATTATTACAAATAAGACATAAAGATTTGGTATTTAGATACCAAATCTTTATGAGAAAAAAGCAGAAGAGTTTATTTTTACAATTAGTCACTATCGCGGTTATGACATATGTAAAGTTCGCGTTCATCAGTGCACGCATCATGAGACCAACCATTACACGATGAGCATTTCACCCATTCTTCATTTGGCGCGCTGTTAGAAAAAGATTCAAGACAAATCAAGCAAAAACTTTCTTCTCCATGAGTTTCATTATCTGAACAGGACTTTTTCTGAATCAAAACGTCCCTTTTCACTGTTTCCCTGTTCCTCTTTTTCTTGTTCGAGCATTTATTTTTCTCTCTCTCTAAATCGTCTTTTACTGGAGTGTCAGTGAGTATTGCAGTAACTCGTTTACGACGGGAAACTCGATTCATTTTTCTTGCCGATGCCTTTGGATAAGGTCTTAAACTTTCTGGAACGATGACAATGCCATTTGCTTTGGCAAAATTCAGACCTTTTATACTCAGATGTGATCAATGGTTATCTAGTAAAAGCAGGCACGGTCTTTCCACAGTACTTTTCATATGAAGGTGAAAAAATCTAAGAAACTCCAAGAAATATGATTCTTTCATCCAACCTGATGGGTTTGCAGAACCTTGTGAGTCAGGAGGAGCCGAAATTAAAAAATTTGGTTTGAAATGTACCCGTGGAAAAATGAAAAAAGGAGGTATGGAATTTCCAATAGCTGATGCTGCACTTGCTAAAGTAACAAGAATTCCTCTTTCTGATAAAACTATCGAACCGACCTGTTTGAATCCTCTTCTGGCAACAACGCGGTCGGGTCTTTGGACAGTTGTAATCCCAGGTTCGCCATGTTCCACATTTCGTGAGGCTCTAATTTATATCTTTCCATAACTGAAGCTAAATTATCAAAAAATGCGTTGACGTCCGTTTTATTGAAACTACTGGCTCTTGCTAAACTAGTTGCTTCCCGTTTGCTAATACACAATACAGGATGACGTTTCAGAAACGCACTGAACCAGTCAGGACCAGCTATTTTATGTTGCTTCCAATTTTCCGACATTTTCAAGGAAATAGCATTAGCAAATTCATATGCCAGTCCACGTACTTCCTTGTATGATAATCCAAAATAAATATTAGATGCTTTGAGCACATATTCCAATAGATTCAGTTCAGTTCAGGCTCAAATACTAAATGATTTTTGATGTAGCCAACTGAAATTGACGGCGCATCAACTCGATCATCAAGTAATTCAGATTCTGGAATTTTCTTACAGTATCTTGCTAAAGTTCGGTAACTTACATTGAAGTCAGCTGCCGCTTTTCTTATTGAGGATCCTAATCTCACTAACCTAGCAGCTCTTAAAAATACGTCAGGCGGCGCTTTGCCGTTCTCAGTCTTCCTTTTGAAATTTCGAACTATGCTTATGTAACCTGAAAATATAAAAAAATACATTATATACAAATACCTACGTAGAATAATGTGCAAAGCTAATCGTCTAGTGTGAGGGCTGGTTGTCCCATGTGACAAGAGGCCCCCGTTAATTTGAGACAACCTGCCCCACTAGATAATTAATTTTTAAGGTTAGATAGCGTCACTAAATTAAAAAATTCAAACTCAATACTTACGTTAAGTCGTATTCGGATTATTGAAGAGCAAAATAAATTCAACAGTTGATGTAATCTTGAAAACACAAATTATCTGGCAAACGAAAAATTTACTCAGGTTAGGCGATTTGTTTATTTTTGCGCATGTGACCTTAATCTACCAACGACAACTTTCGTACTGAATACAAGTGTTCTGCGCGGACGCAGAAACGATGTGTAGCGCGCCAGGCAACTACATCTTGCGGAGCTGCTGAGATTTAACAATTGTGACAACCAACCCATGTGACAACCAGCCCCGGTCTCCCCTACGTTTTGCCAACACCAGTTTTATTAGCAATAGTTAGGGCACTGTTTACTAAAAGAAAAAGGAAATCAAAAAAGCAATGGTCCAAAAGATATAGAAAGAAAACGTTATTCAAATGCAAATTTATTTGAAGAGCTAAACGTACATGAGCCAGCGGACTAAATTTTTATGAACTCTTCCCAAAATTGTCGATCAACTTCAGTCATGGAATTTTTACACACACACACACACACACACACACACACACACACACACGCACACACATAGAGAGAGAGACAAACAACAAACGGACCTCTAAGATGACGCGTGAAAATGAATATCGTCTTGACATCTATACACAATGATCAGCCTCACCGACTCGGCGTCGTGGCTCGTCGACCAAAACGGGATTCCAGACTCTGGATAGCTGCAAGCCTCAACTGATGCCAAATACGAGATTCGGTACTACTAACAGTGTTACTTGCGTCATAAAATGTGAGAGTCGATGCCTGCATCGTAACATTCATTAAGGCGGCTCCGACGCAGTGAGTTTCAAGCCATTTACAAGGGTTCAGCTGCTTCAAAACTGACACTCCATTTTTCAATATTTTTGAATGAAATTCATACATTATGTTGAGAAAATAATTGCCCAGGGTGCTATAGGAGCATTTTTTGAAATTTTGTTTTTGCACAAGTTTTATGATGGGTTGAAGTGCGCACTTTTTCTGTTCAACTTCGCGATTTTTTTAAAAAGAACCTAGTGAAAAAATGAAAAAGTGGCTCTGTAGCACCGTGTGGGGTTTTAATTCAGCACACTGTGAAAATTTCATCCAAAAATATCAAAAAATAAAGCGTCAATTTCGAAGCGCGCAAACCTCTACAAATCGTATTTTGGACGAATTTTGTCTACTGTTTCGTGCTGCCAACCCAAGCGTAGCGGCGCAATGTACGGACTAAGGAAGGACGTATTCAGATAATTTGTGGTGCCCCTATTTCATATAATATCGCGTAGATAGGTCGTTCTGCAAATAGGTACTCATAATCGCGATCGCTGATACTCCTCGATTTTAAAGCCGTTTTACTTCTCACGTCATTGGCGAAGAAGTACTGTAATCGCGAAAAATTTCTAAAATGAGATGTTATGTTTTTTTAAGTCATATGGAATCTACATCACGAAAAACTGTATCACTCATCATCAACTTGGAAATTACCGCTCGGATATTTATGAAATTTCAAGGTTAGCTCTCTCAATGACCTTATTTCACTTCCCGGATTTTACAGAACAAACCTGCTAGTGCTTCTCCATTAGAGGGCAGTTTTGAACCGGTAATTTGATGCTTTACGTCCCCTATTAAAAATATTCCACTTTTAGCACTGCATAATTCCTTAAGATAAGTTTTGACATGTTCCAGCGCAACTCGGCACGGGTTGCCCTGGTTCTAGGTACATCAATTTTTTTTTACAAATGTTTTGACATTGTTCAAGGAAAACTAGGGGGTACGCGTTTGAAAAAAACTACTTCTAATCTCCATGTTTCTAACCGCCAAATAAAATCATGGATGTTGAAGAAAATTTTGTTTTCCAATGATCATCTCGGTATCCGTTAACTCGTTTTACAACTCTGTACTTTGGAAGAAGTAGCCAAAAACTAACTTTCATCAGCATTTATAGATTTGTTTGGCGACCAAAGCATGGAGGTGAATATGTATAACAGCTAAATAAATATTTTTGATAATATTTTTTATAGGTACTACAAATGTGTGTACCTGTGGACGACCCAGACGATTACAACGATCTGCATTTAGACTTCAGCGATAAGAATCACACTTTCAACTTAGATAACGTTAGTTATATCAGTAAGGACAATACGAGTAAGAAATATGGTGAGTTTTTGAAACATTCTAAGATCATTTAGTGAAATTAGCGTTCCACAGTTTCAGTATCTAAAGCTATTTTGATCAATCATACAGTCAAAAAACATACCGTAGTCATTGCTTTCAATATTTGCTTTCAGGACAACAAAGTCCAGCAAGCAGCGAATCAAACACAACGGCAAGGGCGTCTAGCGTCGGAGATGCCCACATGTCGAAGAACAACGAAAACTCACGACGCGATCATGTATATAGGTACGTATGGAAAAACCACCAGACATGTGGAAACTGTCACTAGTTATGCCACTTCCTAAAACCAAAAAGTTAGTGACTTAAGACCTATTAGCCTTTTACCAGTTCTTTCCTAACTGTTAGAGAAAATAATCTATAAACAACTTTTAGAATTTATTTGTACTATACTATAACTACCTAAAACTGTAATGACTCATCGATGTTCACGTGAACATCACTTAACTACCAGTAGTCGGCTGTTCATAGGCGGGGTATGAATGTTTAACATGGGTGAACTAGATTTGTCACATGCTTAATAAAGAGTGGTTTGAAACATATTGTAAGTCAAAAATTTGGGAATTACCTTTATTCATCGTCGCTCCCACTTACATCTGACAGTAATAAACTGTCGCTATCGCTTTCCTCGTTGAAATTGACTATAACTGGCTCTATGATGGTGTCGATGTGGTGGTCAAGCTGCCACATTTTTGTTTCTTCCTTCACAACATGACGGATAGCATTCTGCCAAGCTTCGGACGTTACTAGCTGTATGGAAGTCTCAAGTAAAACCTTAACGTCTGGTAATTTGAAGGTTGTGTTATGGCGCGCAATATAAGCCTTCACTTGAGCCCAGATGAGCTCTATTGGGTTCAGTTCACAGTGGTAGGGCGGTAACCGCAGCACAGTGACACCACATTGACGGGCCATCTCATCAGTCACGTAACTAATGTTCGCAGGTTTGTGCTGTTTAATTTCGCTTTCACACATGAATCGTCAAACGGGATTCCTTTTTCGCGCAACCATTGCTGCATGTCACTTTTTCGAGATCCCATAGTCGGTACACGTTCGGCTCGACGACTACGGTAGGAAGCATTATCCATGACGATCACAGAGTTGGGCTCAACTCGCTGAAGCACCCCTTGAAACCAGTTCTCGAAGCAGCTGGCATTCATTTCGTCATGGTAATCACCTCCTTTCTTAGAGACGAAAATCAAGTCACACACTTCTAAAAAGCCACTATCGCTACCAATATGAGTTACGATCAATCTTTGACCTTTCCCTGACTGTCCACGAAGACCTGTTGACAAACCTTCAATGCTTGCTTATCGGTTACTCACTACGTTCTTGTCTATCCAGGTTTTTTTAACTGTGTGACCTGCATTTACCCATGTCTCGTCCAAATAATAGATTTTTCTGCTTTGTCGCCTATATTTTAACGATCAAACGAACTTACCTGAAGTTCGATCGTAATTATATCGATCGTCCATTCCGAAGATGTATTTAACTAAGGTAGTACGCTCATGCGTACTGCGCGCCACACATTTTTAAGATGAATAGTAGCGCGAGCGCGGATATGTTCTTCCCGCTCGCCGCCGTCCGCTGTAACTGCCTCCCCGTTTCATTCCTTCAAAGATTGTTTTTCAATGCATATGAGCAGGGTGAAAAGCCACTGCATTTCAGGGAGGGGGGGTTTCTACATCTTCGGAATGGACGATCGATATAATTACGATCGAACTTCAGGTAAGTTCGTTTGATCGTTAAATTATATCTCACGTCCATTCCGAAGATGTATTTAACTAAGGTAGATGTTCAAAGATACAAACCACAAACATATGCATTGATGTTTTATATACGAAATAAGTTGAACAAAACTGCTATCATAGCAAAGTAAAATAAGGTGAAAATATTCTAATCTATACTCGTTGAGAGTATCGTGTTTGCAAAGTCATCATCCGCTTGTAGTGGTCGGTCGTAGAACCTTGCAAAGGTTGCCGTCTTCTGAGACCAGCCTGCAGTTTTACAAATAGTGTCTACCGACAGCCCTGCCCTACGGACTGCTGACGTTGCTGCGTGCCTAGTTGAATGAGGTTTAAATACAGTCGTATTTACTCCCGATGACATAAGTGTCTGTTTTACCCAACGGGCAAGGGTTTGCTTTGTTGCTTTTTTATGGGGTTTTACATAAGTTAAAAATAAGAAATCTTCATTATTTCGGATTTCTTTCGTTGACTCTAAGTACTGCAGCACTGTTGAGGCTGGGCATATGTTGGGATTTGGTGTGAAGAACGGGAGACTCAGAAAAGGCTGATCATTGAGGCTAAGTGACGTCTTTACTGGGTCCGTAATCATTATTTGTAATCTGGTTTCGTCTCTGTGAATGTTTGATACCCGGATTAAAGAGATCGTTTGAAGGCGGCCACCTGTTACCAGTGAAAGTAGGGTCACCAGTTTGTGGGTGAGGCTTTTAAGTTGGTTGTTAGGGAGATTTCCTAATGCTGTAAGAACTGGTTGAGGATCCCACGTGAACCTATACCTGGGGTTCATTGGTCGTCTTCTGGCTACCCCTTTCATGAACCGTTTTATCAGGGGGTGTGAACCTAGGCTATCGGAGGATATAAGGGAGATCGCAGATCTGTGGCTGTTTAAACTTCCATAATTTAGTTCAGTTGTATTGATAATGTTCTGAAGGAATTCTATTACCTGCAGGACGTTTGCCTGAAATACTGGTATCTGCTTCTCTTCACAGTACTTATACCATAGACGGTAAGTACACGCATACTGGCTGATCGTAGCTGTCGATATTGAATCGATTATGGTCTCTACCGCCTCATCCGATATTCCTCTCAGTTGAAACCCCTGCCGGATAATTTCGCGGCCACTAATGTTAATCTGTTGGCCAGAGGGTGGGTTGAACTGAAAGGAGAAGTCAGAAGATTATCGTCAGGTCCAAAAGTAACAGATCTTCCAACTTGTAGTTTCTCTACAAGCGGATACCATGCCTGGGCACGCCAGTCTGGTACTACTACAATTCCCTCAGCTTTATCCTGGATAATTTTTTGTAACACCTTCAATATTAAGCAAAATGGGGGGAATGCATAAAAATAAATATCGGTCCAGCTAATAGTAAAAGCATCAACTGCGACCGAATCCGGATCTTTCCTCCATGATACATATCGTCGACATTTGTGATTTATTTTTGAGGCAAAAAGGTCAACGTCAGGAGATCCGAATTCGTGTTTTAAAACATCGAATGCTGAATCTGCCAGAGACCATTCTGTTTCGGTTGAGACTACTCTGGACTCCCTGTCTGCGTCCAGATTGTCCTTTGTGTTGACGTATGAAGCGAATACCCAAATATTTCTGGCTTGACACCATTCCCAGATGTCTCGCGTTCTGTTGTTGAGCTTGGTAGATTGTATACTGCCCAAACGGTTGATGCAAGATATTGCCGTCGTGTTATCTGATCTAATCAGAATACTGCAGTTCCTTGCATCCCGGGCGAAACATTTTAAGCCATAAAGAATAGCTGTAAGTTCTAAGTAATTTATATGATTATCTTTTTCTGGATTGGACCAAAACCCATGGGTTTTGTCGTGTCCTCTACATGCACCCCACCCAGTCAGTGAGGCATCTGTGAATATTGTCATACTATAGCCTGTCTGTTTAATATCGGCTTCCGCATTTAAGATGTTTCGCTCCCACCAGATTAGGTCATTATCTATAAAGTTATGTGGTAAGACTACTATACAATTATAGTTGTAGTTGTTCGCTTCTAGAGCTGAGCACTTTAGTTGTTCCAAACGCTTGGTGTACAACCAGCCGTACTTAACCGCAGGGCAGGCTGCGGTTAAGGTGCCTATGAACTGTGCAAGTTCTCTTATACTGCATGTATCCCTTTTTCGGAAAGACGTTGACATGTTTTTAATGGACGTTGTCTTTTCCGACGGTAGGGATATTTTCATATTTTTGGTGTCGTATTGAAATCCTAAAAATATTTTTCTCTGTTCTGGGGTCAACGAACTTTTTTCAAAGTTTATGATGAAACCTATGGACTGTAATGTGTTTACCACAATTTTTGTGTGTTCCCTACATTTTTCAGACGAGTCACTGATGACTAGGAAATCGTCTAAATAGTTGACCAACAGAATCCCTTGAGTACGCAGGTTTTCCAGGACGGGTCGCATTATTTTTGTGAAACAGTACGGTGCTGACGAGAGACCAAATGGTAAGCAATTGAATTCAAATGTATTAGAATTAAACCTGAACCTCAAATACTTCCTAAATGATTTGTCTATTGATATTAGGAAGTATGCGTCTTTTAGATCGATGGTTGCCATCCAGTATTGCTTTTGCAATAGTTTTAGTACTGTCCGAAAATCTTCCATTTTGAAATGCTCGTATTTCACGAATTCATTAAATTTTTTCAAATTTAAAATGAACCGTTTCTTTCCGTTGGATTTTTCAGTTAGGAAGTAAGTTGAAACGTACTGGTCTTTCCTCTCCGTACATGATGATACTGCTCCGATATCTAGTAGCTCCCTGATTGCCAAGGCAATCAAAGGGTCGCACTGAGTGTGGGCAGTTTGATTCTGTTTCTGAACAGGTGTTGCTAAGAGAGGGATCTTATATCCCTTAATCCAGGATAGAACTGTGGAATTGTTCGTTATACATTTCCAAGACTCGACAAAATGGGATAGTCTGCCCGCTAGCTTAGAATGACTTACCTTTATTGGTATCTGCTCCCTGGGGGGCGACTTTGCTTGGAGGTTTGCCCTTTCCTCGGCCCCGAGTCCCTCCCTGACTGGCGAGGCGGGCGTTGCCTGTTTAAAGACGGGCGGTAGCTAGTCGCTTTATATGGAGTACGAGCATTGTATGCAGTTTTGGAGGTACCATGCTGGCGCTGAGAGGTGTGCCCCCCCCCTCTTCTGATGCCGGATGGCCCTGCCTTGTTGCTATAACCGTCTTGTCTTAAGTCGTTCCCAGCTTTTTCTGCAATTTTTGCCATTTTAATCTTTTCTGCCAAATCGGTGCCGTATAGATATTCCCCCGGAATAGTCTCTTTGATGGTATCTTTCACCGATTTGGAGAGAAGTTGTGAAATATATTCCCTACGGGTCGTCGAGATCTCATGGAATAGCTGGGTCATGAATGTGCCCACATCTGCTAGATGTGGTAGCAAGTGCATTTTTAGATCAGAATCAACATTATTCTTGATTTCATTGATGACATAATTCATGCATTTGCCAAGCGCACTTGTACTTTTTCCCACCAATAGCTGATATCTTGCATGGCATTGGTCCCTCTTAACATATGCTTGAGAAAGAATGTGAGCAACTTCCGGATTGACTTTTGGAGGATCAAGAGTAGGAAAATTATTGGGAGGCCTATGGCGATCCAAAATTTGATCCATATTTTCCTTTCCTATGCCTTGGGCTATTGTTTGTGACCAAACTTGTCTTATAGCATCATTGAGATGATAGGACTGTTTTGTTTCTGTGTCAGTGTCAATGCCTAATACCTCTTTAATGCACTCTGGAAGTTGCTCCGCCTCATTCTCAGTGTTTTCAGCTTGTAAATTTATGTCGTCTTGGAGTACGAGTGTATCTAGGTCATCCAGTTCCGGATGGTCTTGGTTTATAGCCGGACAGTTCGATGCCGGGCTTCTACCACTGGTGACACTCGCCGAGTCGTACGAGGCTCGGCTCATGCTACGTCGGTCTATTTTTTCTTTTGAAAATCGTGAAGAAGTCGGGCTGTTCAAAACCCGACGCTCTCTCGATGTATTTCTAGGATTTTGGTATCGATTGGAAGTTGGGCTGTGCGAAACCCGACGTTCTCTCGATGAATTCCTAGAGTATTGATATTCGGAAGTCGGTTTGTCCAAAGTTCGACGTTTCCGAGTCGTATAATTGTGGTTACGATCCTCCGAATCTGGCACCCCCCTTCTTTTTATCGAAGTACGGTCCTGTACTAAGGATCGACTGCGCGAACTAGAGCGGGGCCTCCTCGGAGAAATGCTTCGACTGTGCCGACGTGAATGGGACCTACGATCTCGCTCCTGCCTGTTTAGTCTATCGCGAAGCTCATTAATTGTTTTTTGTAAGTCTCTACGCGATAGTTTGTCGCTGGATCGGCTTCTCTTGCGTTTCCCCATGCTGTAAAACAAGCCCTGTGGAGAAATAGTTGCTCACCAGAACGATTTTAACGTGATTAGTATATAATAGTTCACTTTCTCGAATTAACATTAAATGCACAGCAAATAAACAAGGAAGCCTTGTTCGTGAAATTGAGAAAATGCAAAAGAAAAATCTGGGACTGTGCCAATAAAATTATCATTATTTCGTATTATCCTGATGTAACAGAACATTCTATGAATGTCGTGAATAGCAAAATAATACTATCATACCTGTACTATTGGTTTTTCGTCTGTTGCGGAGCCGGGCACTGAAACTACACGTGTGGACGCGACGCACACATAAAAGCGAATGAAACGGGGAGGCAGTTACAGCGGACGGCGGCGAGCGGGAAGAACATATCCGCGCTCGCGCTACTATTCATCTTAAAAATGTGTGGCGCGCAGTACGCATGAGCGTACTACCTTAGTTAAATACATCTTCGGAATGGACGTGAGATATAATCAATCATTTCGCGTAGGTATTTTCGACGCCAGGCGACTATTTCAGGTCTCTCTATCAATACTGACTTCCGATTACGCGTTTCGTAACGAAAATTAATTTCGTGCAGGGATTTCCTCATTACCTCGACGCTCATTTGGGGTATAATTTCATTTTCCTTGATCGCTGCATGTACAGCCTTGAGGGTTGGTATCTCATTCCTAAAGAAGAATGAATGTACGGTTCGCCTTAACGCCGTTTTGCTATCGTCATCCAATTTAACGGCCTTTCGTCCCTTCAAATCAAACTTTGGATCAGTAGTAGCTCCAGTTTTCTTCTTTTCATGCACCATCCTGCGAATGGTCCACTCTGGAACGCCTGTCATACTTTCACAACGCTCAAGTGCATCTCCCTGCGACATTGTTCTGTTCAGATAATTGAACACGTTGAGCACGATTTCTTTCGCGTCCTTCTTCAGTGCTTTACGAAGCCGTCTACTTGTTCCCTGGCTTTCAGTACTTCCACTCGTGCCATTTGTACTCTCCATGGTTAAGTATAACCAAAACAGTAACCACAGAAACCACAACAATAACAATCACACAACAATTCTTATAAAAACACACAATATGCGATCGCTCAACGAAACACGTTCCAATGCGTTGCCGACGCCTATGAGTCTGCCGGTCGAGGCGCGTCTTTGATTTCATTGGTTCTACCGGCGGAGAACAATCAGCCATTATTTCCATCTCTGTCTGTGCTGTTGACCACCGCAAAGCCACAGAAACGACATATATCGTACGCTATACGGCTGTACTGGAAGGAAGCCGGGATCGAGCTCTGATCACGTGTTGATCACGCGTCTGAGTCATTACAGTTTTAAATAGTTGTAGTATAACAGTATACTGCCTGAGGAGTAGTTCGGCTTTCGAAAAGCGAGTAGCATTGTTTTTGTACTATCTGTTATAGATGATGATATAATCTGCGATTTGGATAACAACCTGGCAACAGTTCTTGTTTCTCTCGATTTTTGTAAGGCATTCGATCATTCGACACCATAAAGCCATAAGCCATTATCTACTTCTAGCCAACCATCGATTTTATAAGCCGACACCTGGTTTCCTAGCGCCTCATATCTTAAAAACAGACAGCAACAGGCGGCTCTGGAGAAAATCTTCAGGGGTACCACAAGGTTCAGTCCTAGGGCCCCTCTTGTTCTTAATGTATACTCTTGATTCGATCGTCAAAATGAAAAACTCGAGTATAACTTGTTATGACGATGATACTCAATTATTGTTAATCTTTCCACCTGATGATTTCAAAATGGCTGAGGCAAAATAAGTATTGACCTCGAAAGCATTAATAAGTATCCTGGTATTAATAACATGAAACTCAATCCTCAAAAGTCAAATGTACTATTTTGAAAGTGAGAGAAACGAAGACGTCTAAAAGTAAGCCTGAACCTGAAACTAAGCATATAAATAAAATTTAATCATCTATGCAAAAGTTCGGGTTCACTCATAGACGAAGATTTACGTTTCAACACGCATGTTAGCAGCGTCATGAAAACATGCTATTTTAGGCTGAAACTATTATTATATAGTAATAGGAACTTCCTCGTTTTAAAACAAGAAAGGGATTATGCGAATCATTATTTCCAAAATTTTATATGGAATTATAGTGCATTACTCTTGCTCAGATCAAATGTCAAGCGTAACTCAAAATGATAAACAAACCATGGGCGTAGTGAAGAAAAGTATTTACATATTAAGTAAATTCTTTTAGTCAAATTTCTTCTGAAAGTAGTAGAAACTAATCTGATGTACCTATTAAAGTCTACTTTAAGCTTTAAATCAATAAATCTTCAAAACTACTGAACTGAAGCTCATGTATTTTACATCATTATAAAGGGAATTGAAAGATCTTTAAAATAAGGTATCACTCGACCCCCCTTTCCATTTAAGATTTTAGGGTTTTTGTTACCCCCGCCCAGGGGGTGCACGTGTTAACACGTGATTTTTTGCCATTTTTCAAAAAAAAAACTGAGCTGCCAGTAAATATGTCTGTTTCTTTTTCGATGCGCCATCCTGCATAATATTAATTTAATATTCTTTGTTACAGGTCATCTGACGAAGATGATATGAATGCCAGTTCTTCGAATGATAATGTGATGTTTAAAGAAAAGAAAGACTATTTGAATATAACTTACGGTTACGGAGATCATTCTCCTGTCGAGACGACAACCGAATTGTAAATGCTCCTTTTAAATAGTCAGATGTAACTAATTTATGTTTTAATTTTGTAAGAAAGGTTTATAGGTTAAATTTTTTATAATAAATTTTATTCTTATCCTGATGTATTCTTGGACCCACTCCCACTTCAAAAGGGTACTTTAACAGTAGTTATCATGGTGGAGGTACCAAGTATCTAAGTTTGACTTTGGCCGCAGGTTTTTCATAGACTCTATGACTTTAGGCAGGCGCTGTTCCCTGTACCACTTAGCTGTGACTGTCTTCTCGTTTTGAAAAATACAGCTATCATTTTTTTCTCAACAGGTCGGTTTTTCAGATAGCTCATCACCAAAGACCCAAACCTTGTTTTGAGCCTTGTTCGGCACATCGTAATAATGGAGCCAGTTCTCGTCACCTGGCACGATGCTGTTCACATCAAACATTTTCAGCATCTTCCGGCATCAAGTCGTACGACGAGTCTTCTGCTCATCCGTCAGGCTCTGCGGTACCCAGAGAGAACAAAGTTGGCTTACGTGTAAATAGACACGCAGAATTGAATGAATTGTTGGCCCATGAAGGTCAGAGCAGTAATTATATCTCACGTCCATTCCGAAGATGTATTTAACTAAGGTAGTACGCTCATGCGTACTGCGCGCCACACATTTTTAAGATGGATAGTAGCGCGAGCGCGGATATGTTCTTCCCGCTCGCCGCCGTCCGCTGTAACTGCCTCCCCGTTTCATTCGCTTTTATGTGTGCGTCGCGTCCACACGTATAGTTTCAGTGCCCGGCTCCGCAACAGACGAAAAACCAATAGTACAGGTATGATAGTATTATTTTGCTATTCACGACATTCATAGAATGTTCTGTTACATCAGGATAATACGAAATAATGATATTTTTATTGGCACAGTCCCAGATTTTTCTTTTGCATTTTCCCAATTTCACGAACAAGGCTTCCTAGTTTATTTGCTGTGCATTTAATGTTAATTCGAGAAAGTGAACTATTATATACTAATCACGTTAAAATCGTTCTGGTGAGCAACTATTTCTCCACAGGGCTTGTTTTACAGCATGGGGAAACGCAAGAGAAGCCGATCCAGCGACAAACTATCGCGTAGAGACTTACAAAAAACAATTAATGAGCTTCGCGATAGACTAAACAGGCAGGAGCGAGATCGTAGCTCCCATTCACGTCGGCACAGTCGAAGCATTTCTCCGAGGAGGCCCCGCTCTAGTTCGCGCAGTCGATCCTTAGTACAGGACCGTACTTCGATAAAAAGAAGGGGGGTGCCAGATTCGGAGGATCGTAACCACAATTATACGACTCGGAAACGTCGAACTTTGGACAAACCGACTTCCGAATATCAATACTCTAGGAATTCATCGAGAGAACGTCGGGTTTCGCACAGCCCAACTTCCAATCGATACCAAAATCCTAGAAATACATCGAGAGAGCGTCGGGTTTTGAACAACCCGACTTCTTCACGATTTTCAAAAGAAAAAATAGACCGACGTAGCATGAGCCGAGCCTCGTACGACTCGGCGAGTGTCACCAGAGGTAGAAGCCCGGCATCGAACTGTCCGGCTATAAACCAAGACCATCCGGAACTGGATGACCTAGATACACTCGTACTCCAAGACGACATAAATTTACAAGCTGAAAACACTGAGAATGAGGCGGAGCAACTTCCAGAGTGCATTAAAGAGGTATTAGGCATTGACACTGACACAGAAACAAAACAGTCCTATCATCTCAATGATGCTATAAGACAAGTTTGGTCACAAACAATAGCCCAAGGCATAGGAAAGGAAAATATGGATCAAATTTTGGATCGCCATAGGCCTCCCAATAATTTTCCTACTCTTGATCCTCCAAAAGTCAACCCGGAAGTTGCTCACATTCTTTCTCAAGCATATGTTAAGAGGGGCCAATGCCATGCAAGATATCAGCTATTGGTGGGAAAATGTACAAGTGCGCTTGGCAAATGCATGAATTATGTCATCAATGAAATCAAGAATAATGTTGATTCTGATCTAAAAATGCAGTTGCTACCACATCTAGCAGATGTGGGCACATTCATGACCCAGCTATTCCATGAGATCTCGACGACCCGTAGGGAATATATTTCACAACTTCTCTCCAAATCGGTGAAAGATACCATCAAAGAGACTATTCCGGGGGAATATCTATACGGCACCGATTTGGCAGAAAAGATTAAAATGGCAAAAATTGCAGAAAAAGCTGGGAACGACTTAAGACAAGACGGTTATAGCAACAAGGCAGGGCCATCCGGCATCAGAAGAGGGGGGGGGCACACCTCTCAGCGCCAGCATGGTACCTCCAAAACTGCATACAATGCTCGTACTCCATATAAAGCGACTAGCTACCGCCCGTCTTTAAACAGGCAACGCCCGCCTCGCCAGTCAGGGAGGGACTCGGGGCCGAGGAAAGGGCAAACCTCCAAGCAAAGTCGCCCCCCAGGGAGCAGATACCAATAAAGGCAAGTCATTCTAAGCTAGCGGGCAGACTATCCCATTTTGTCGAGTCTTGGAAATGTATAACGAACAATTCCACAGTTCTATCCTGGATTAAGGGATATAAGATCCCTCTCTTAGCAACACCTGTTCAGAAACAGAATCAAACTGCCCACACTCAGTGCGACCCTTTGATTGCCTTGGCAATCAGGGAGCTACTAGATATCGGAGCAGTATCATCATGTACGGAGAGGAAAGACCAGTACGTTTCAACTTACTTCCTAACTGAAAAATCCAACGGAAAGAAACGGTTCATTTTAAATTTGAAAAAATTTAATGAATTCGTGAAATACGAGCATTTCAAAATGGAAGATTTTCGGACAGTACTAAAACTATTGCAAAAGCAATACTGGATGGCAACCATCGATCTAAAAGACGCATACTTCCTAATATCAATAGACAAATCATTTAGGAAGTATTTGAGGTTCAGGTTTAATTCTAATACATTTGAATTCAATTGCTTACCATTTGGTCTCTCGTCAGCACCGTACTGTTTCACAAAAATAATGCGACCCGTCCTGGAAAACCTGCGTACTCAAGGGATTCTGTTGGTCAACTATTTAGACGATTTCCTAGTCATCAGTGACTCGTCTGAAAAATGTAGGGAACACACAAAAATTGTGGTAAACACATTACAGTCCATAGGTTTCATCATAAACTTTGAAAAAAGTTCGTTGACCCCAGAACAGAGAAAAATATTTTTAGGATTTCAATACGACACCAAAAATATGAAAATATCCCTACCGTCGGAAAAGAAAACGTCCATTAAAAACATGTCAACGTCTTTCCGAAAAAGGGATACATGCAGTATAAGAGAACTTGCACAGTTCATAGGCACCTTAACCGCAGCCTGCCCTGCGGTTAAGTACGGCTGGTTGTACACCAAGCGTTTGGAACAACTAAAGTGCTCAGCTCTAGAAGCGAACAACTACAACTATAATTGTATAGTAGTCTTACCACATAACTTTATAGATAATGACCTAATCTGGTGGGAGCGAAACATCTTAAATGCGGAAGCCGATATTAAACAGACAGGCTATAGTATGACAATATTCACAGATGCCTCACTGACTGGGTGGGGTGCATGTAGAGGACACGACAAAACCCATGGGTTTTGGTCCAATCCAGAAAAAGATAATCATATAAATTACTTAGAACTTACAGCTATTCTTTATGGCTTAAAATGTTTCGCCCGGGATGCAAGGAACTGCAGTATTCTGATTAGATCAGATAACACGACGGCAATATCTTGCATCAACCGTTTGGGCAGTATACAATCTACCAAGCTCAACAACAGAACGCGAGACATCTGGGAATGGTGTCAAGCCAGAAATATTTGGGTATTCGCTTCATACGTCAACACAAAGGACAATCTGGACGCAGACAGGGAGTCCAGAGTAGTCTCAACCGAAACAGAATGGTCTCTGGCAGATTCAGCATTCGATGTTTTAAAACACGAATTCGGATCTCCTGACGTTGACCTTTTTGCCTCAAAAATAAATCACAAATGTCGACGATATGTATCATGGAGGAAAGATCCGGATTCGGTCGCAGTTGATGCATTTACTATTAGCTGGACCGATATTTATTTTTATGCATTCCCCCCATTTTGCTTAATATTGAAGGTGTTACAAAAAATTATCCAGGATAAAGCTGAGGGAATTGTAGTAGTACCAGACTGGCGTGCCCAGGCATGGTATCCGCTTGTAGAGAAACTACAAGTTGGAAGATCTGTTACTTTTGGACCTGACGATAATCTTCTGACTTCTCCTTTCAGTTCAACCCACCCTCTGGCCAACAGATTAACATTAGTGGCCGCGAAATTATCCGGCAGGGGTTTCAACTGAGAGGAATATCGGATGAGGCGGTAGAGACCATAATCGATTCAATATCGACAGCTACGATCAGCCAGTATGCGTGTACTTACCGTCTATGGTATAAGTACTGTGAAGAGAAGCAGATACCAGTATTTCAGGCAAACGTCCTGCAGGTAATAGAATTCCTTCAGAACATTATCAATACAACTGAACTAAATTATGGAAGTTTAAACAGCCACAGATCTGCGATCTCCCTTATATCCTCCGATAGCCTAGGTTCACACCCCCTGATAAAACGGTTCATGAAAGGGGTAGCCAGAAGACGACCAATGAACCCCAGGTATAGGTTCACGTGGAATCCTCAACCAGTTCTTACAGCATTAGGAAATCTCCCTAACAACCAACTTAAAAGCCTCACCCACAAACTGGTGACCCTACTTTCACTGGTAACAGGTGGCCGCCTTCAAACGATCTCTTTAATCCGGGTATCAAACATTCACAGAGACGAAACCAGATTACAAATAATGATTACGGACCCAGTAAAGACGTCACTTAGCCTCAATGATCAGCCTTTTCTGAGTCTCCCGTTCTTCACACCAAATCCCAACATATGCCCAGCCTCAACAGTGCTGCAGTACTTAGAGTCAACGAAAGAAATCCGAAATAATGAAGATTTCTTATTTTTAACTTATGTAAAACCCCATAAAAAAGCAACAAAGCAAACCCTTGCCCGTTGGGTAAAACAGACACTTATGTCATCGGG